GGTCAAGGTAGGCTGTGGACCTGAGACCACTAAGATGTGTTCACGAGCTGTTGGCCCATTCCCTCCTCCTTTTTTGCTATTTAGCACATCTCATTAGAAGGAACTTTGATGATCGAAGCATGAAACTCTGAGAGTGTGACAGGCATGGCTTACTTTAGGAGTCCATTGTTCCTGTTTCTCACAGACTGTGGTTTCGGCTTTAAACAACACAGTTCAAACTCAGGTCACATTTGGGAGCCTTTAATATGGTACAAGCTTCTTTATAAGATTTTAAAGTATATTTGTAGAATTAGTATATACATATAAAGTGCTGTTTCAACTTTAATTATATAGATAATTATCTAGAGTTACTAGAAATGGCCCAGCATGAACTTTGGGCTGGGCCACATTACTAAGGGCCCGGCGCGTACTTTGGACTAGGCTGCATTCTTTTAAACCAGTTTTAGCTACAGTTGGTGTAGGGTTTTTCTACTTATTATAGAAATTGAATTTATTTTATTCATAGAAAGTATTGTAGAATAGGTTATGCTACGTCAGTGAATTATGTTACTTCAAGCATGATCAAACATGATATTTTGAGGTTTAATAAGAATACAGTTAACTTTAGAAATTTCATCATTTCCATTTTCTACATTTGTGGTTTTGGCTTTAATACAATTTACAGTTTATATTTGGGTTTATTTTTAGAAGTTTTATTGCTGATGATCAACTTTATATATTAGGATTAGGAATTAGAAACTTTTATAGAAGTTAAAATAGATATATAGGATTTAGAACAGCCATTTTGTTAAGAGATTGTAATCAATTGTTCCTAGAAACAGCCCAGCATGATCTTTTGATTGTGCCACATTCTTTAGGAACTGGTTGGGGCTATAATTAAGAGTTTCTATAGTGTAGGTAGAATTAACGTAAAATAGAAAGGAATTAGACTTAATTTAGTCATTAGGTGTTGTGTATGCATAAGTTTTAAAAGTTATTGATTATTAGAATATTATGATGTTAGAATTGTTGTATTGCTTTTGAGGAATATTAACGAAGCATGAGGAACAGTGAGATAATTTTGGGATTGCCCTTCATGCTTGAGGAAACACCTGGTGGGTGGGGGACACCCCTCCACCTACTCAGAAGACGTATCCCCTTAAAGAAAAGTCGACAGCAACTTCAGCGAGAAAAAGTCCTTCAGAAACAAAGCCGAAAACTTGGGCTTCAAGATGGATCAACCTCTTTACCTCCAGAGCAGCTGCTTTTTACACCTAAACAGAGATTTAACACTCAGAAACCACATTTTTCTTCCCCTATTCTTCCTCTCACCTCTCCTGTTGGTGACAGAAATCCAAAGACTATTGAAATTCAACCAAGGGAACCAGGACATGAGAATTCCCATGATGGTCACAAAAATACTGATGTTCTTCCTCCAAAGTCAGAATGTAAATTGGAGAAAAAGAAAGTGGAATTGTTAGTAAGTCTATATATCCATGAGACTTTTTGTTTTACATTTTTTTCCCATTTGGCTTTGAGGAAATGTTTATTTTAACATTTTCTCTGTTTTATATTCAATCCTGGAAATGTGATGAATAAACTATTGAAAAATAGCTACCACCCAGGTACATTAAATATGCCAGGCACTGTTTAGCATTTTATATGCTTTATATCACTTAGTCTTCATAACAGCCTAAGTATTTTATCATTTTCACTTTATAGATGAATTGTCTGGGACTGAGAAGATATTATCTTCCTAAAGCTAATACACAGCTAGTAGATAGTAGAGATTTACATTGAAGCCCATCTGGATCCAAAGTCTGTGCCCTTCACACTAACCAGAAGCAGTTCTTATGTGCATAGTACCTCTCCCCAAACAGACCCCATTCTTCAGCTTCCAGACTACTACTGTGGCCCAGAAGAGGGTACTTGCAAAGAGATGTGAGGGGGTGGGCAAAGGAGAGAGTGTAGGAAATTGAAAGGACTAATTATATAATTCAGTTGCATCATTAGGTTTACTTTTATTCTTTCTTTAATGTCTTGTGTTAGAAATGACTTGCATAATTTAGTTTATCCACACTCTTGTGGAAATTGCCTTTCTATGATGTGAATTTTTAGAATTTTTACAGCTTAGGTTTTTAGAAATTTTTAATAGAATTTTTTGATAGCTTATATTTTAGTATGTATTCTTATTTTTCTGTTTCCTCCTGAGCTATCACTAATAGAGGAGAAAGGATGGCATTTGTTTCTGTTTTCTCTTTTCTGTCTTTCAAATTATCTTCTTTCTAATCTCAGATATTTTTCTGAGCTCTGTTGATTCAGATTCTATACTGTGACTTTAAAATGTTTGCTGCTTTGTACTTATAAAATTGGAAGATAATGCATGTTTTCAGGTCTTTGAAGTTTTTCTTAAGTCCAACATCACATCTTAGCTCATAATTTTCTAATAATAAAAAAGAAAATAGCCGGACATGGTGGCTCATGCCTGTAATCCTAGCACTTTGGGAGGCTGACGCAAGAGGATTGCCTGAGCCCGTGAATTTGAGACCAGCCCGGGAAACATGGTGAGACCTCATCTCTACAACAAATCAAAAAATTAGCTGGTTATGGTGGCATACACCTGTAATTTCAGCTACTTGGAAGGCTAAGGTGGAAGGATTATCTGAGCCCAGCAGGTTGAGGCTGTAGTGGCCGTGAGCAGCATGCCACTGCACTCCAGTATGGATGATAGAGTGAGACTCCAACTCAAATAAATACATAAAATGTTTTCTGCCCACTAGGGGTTTGCAACTAAGAAATCATTTTAATAGGCAGTATAAAACCACATGAATTATGAAATTAATATTGAATAAGTGCATACATTTAAATGTCTTCAAGTGTGGTTTATCAGCAAAGGCCTGAGACAAGTGGGAGCTTGAACTGGACAATTTAGATAGGATGTCATTAGGGAAATTATTTTTAGATATATTGCAGTATCTTTATGGAAGACATGCAATCTGAGGAACCATGACTTTATAGAAGACATGTAATCTGAGGAAAAGGAGAAATCCTGAGCTTGTAAGGAGAAAGGAAAGCTGTGTCCTAGAGAATGCAGAGATGACATCACACTTCTCTGGGAGAGGCAAATGATGAGCCAGCAAATAGAAAAAGAAATGAGGAAGGATTTGGAAGCAGAAGCTGCCTGTCTAGTGAGTTCACTGATGTGTCAAGATATCACCAAAACCTCTGAGGGAGAAAGTTCCCAGTCAAAATAGTGGCTAGAGAAATTCAAGGTGTCAGTGTTGCAGACTGGGAGAGAGTACTGGGTAAGCTGAACTGAGGTGCTAGTGAGATGATGTTTGCAGAGGGGCATATGAGAAATGACCGGTGTGCTGAGGTGGAAGCTGTAGGAGTGGAGAGGAAAGCTTTGGAAGTGGTTACTAAGTTTGGGAGTGGTTACAACTTAAATTTGGGAAGTGGTTACTAAGTTTGGGAGTACTAAGTTAGTAGTACTAAGTCTTACTCTTGTGAGACTGTAAGAAATGATAGTGTTCTATTTACCTGGCAGGGGAGATACCATGCTCACGAAGGTGGTTTTCCCAGGGGGAGGCTCACCCATTGCACTCCGGATGTACTGAACCCTGCGATTTCCCCAAATGTGGGAAAATCGCTACATAATTTGTAATAGTGGGTGACTGCGTTCATGCTTCTCCTAACATGATAGTTAACAAGGACAGATTGAACAGGTTTTTCCTTCTTTTTCAAACTGTTGTATATGCTCTGTTTTATAAAGTTACTTGCTTGAATTGGAAAAAAAAGAAATGACAGTACTAGGAATAAATAGCTTTGCCATTACCTTGCTTAATTTGAGATGACATTAAGTTCATGACTTAATGGGAAATTTTAATATTTCAGACTTGCACAGATTGAGAGACTTGTATTTTCAGATCATTGAAGTTTTTCTTCAGCCCAGCATTCAAGTCTTAGCTCATAGTCTTTTACTTTGTTTAAAACTGTCTGAGTTGGAAGAAAGTGAGCAATTGAAAGAAAATGTATGAAATAAACTCTTAAAGGTATAACATGACATCAGTTACAGACCAATTTATTTTTATCTCCATTTTGCATATAAAACATAATTAGCTTACACAAATTTCTTTGTACTTCTAAAAAAAAAAATGCCACCGAACTCTGGCTTCCAGTTTGTGGGTTCCTAGATTATATAGGCTAACTAGATTATGTACATATAATGCATTTCAAAGGTCCAATTTATGTAAACCTCTTTACTTCAGATCTAGTCTTTGTTCCTATTAGAACAGAATAATGAGCTGCAGATGGGTTTCTTTTAAGAGGACTTTTGAAAGAAAATATATATAAATCTTCTTGATTAGATTTTATACTTAAGGGAGACTGGTAAGGTGTGGGGTAGGGTAGCAGCTCTGTCATATACTCACTTTTATGCTTTTCTATTCCCTAGGCAAGACGAATCTCATTGGGAAGTCCTCCAACAAGAGCAATGGCTAATGGAAGAGAAAAATAAATGTAAGAAAGCTCTTTTGGCTAAAGCTGTTGCAGAAAGGTGAGGCCTCAGGACCAGGAGAGGTCGTGTATAACCCACAGTCGTCAGTTCTGTTACGTTTTACATTTGTTTTCATGCGTCTGTTCTAATAAACTAATATTTTCTCTAACCATTACTTTTAAGGCTAACTAAACAAATTATGCTTAATATAAGTGATACTGAAATTCCAGTTTTAATTTAGCAAGGAGGATTTTCTAAGCATGCAGCATATTAAATTCATAAATACAATTGCAATTAAAACTTAAGGACCAGCATTAGTGTTTTCGACACATTCATATGAGAAACAGTAAATAGCTATCAGTATATGTAAATTAGCAACAATTGCAGGTTTTAATTTGATGTGGGAGAGGCCTTAAATCATCTGACATGTAGAAGAATAAGGTTATTCCACAGAAGTGGCTTATTCTTTGACATATCTTAGTTGTGTTTACTGTGCATACTTTTCTTAAATAATTTAGCCTGTACCCACTCGTAGAAGATACTGGTATAATTTAACATGTTCTTGCTGACTTTGGGTCACCATTATGCGCACTGTGTGAGATTCCATTTTCTTTCACCTGCTGTGTCTGTCCCCTTCTCATGACTGTATTGTACCCACCCCAAACAGCAACATTCCCATTGGAACCAGTCTCCTATCCCCCATCACTCCTGATGCCCCTTTAGTTTGTGCTTTTATCTAATCTGTGACCTTAGGACACTAAGCTTAGTCAATAAAGCAGTGACTAAGAATAGTGAAAATTAACTGTAAGCAAGTATTCAGTGAATTTTCTTTTTAGACTTTCAAAAAAATCTGGCAAACCATTATTATTTGAATCCAGTGTGTGTGAAGTAGCAGGAGCAGAGGTAGGAGAAATTTTTCTGCCAAAGAGATACATGTATTTGAAAATGAATTTTTTCTGCAACTGGTATACCTTGATCTTTTTTAAAGCACAGGAAATATGCTACCAGAGTACAGTGGTACGATCATAGCCACCACAGTCTCAACCTCACGGGCTCAGGTGATCCTTTCACCTCAGCCCCCAAATAGCTGGGACTACAGGCATACACCACCATGCCCCACTAATTTTTTAATTATTTTTTTGTAGAGACAAGGGCTTGCTATGTTCCCCAGGCTGGGCTTGAATTCCTGGGATCAAGCAGTCCTTCCGCCATGGCCTCCCAAAGTGGTAGGAATACAGGCATGAGCCACTGTACTCAGCCTTCTACAAGTGATTAGTTTTTTTAAAATGTGGAACATTTTAGTAGTCTTCACTTTAGAAGAGGTGAGGAGGCTGTTTACTGAGGACTTTACAAAAACAGATACTGGTTTAGCATTTCTTAAGTGCTTTTGATTGAAGGCAGAAAGGCTGATACAGACAGAAGTCTAAGAAAATACATGTTTGGATTACTAATAAAGGATCAGTGAAGTACTTGAAGTGAAAGAATTTTACTGGTGAGTGAACTTTTGTAGGAAAGGAAAGGTAAATGCATGATGGAGCAGAAATCAAGAAAATTCAAGTTGTAATGTAGCAGTTTTATGTGGGGCATTTTCTTCTCCCTTGAGAATGAGTAAAAATTTGAAATGAGTGAAATCATGATGAAAGGTTTGCTTTTGTATTTGTTTCATTTTTTTTTTTTTTTTGAGTTGTAGTCTCACTCTGTCGCCCAGGCTGGAGTGCAGTGGCACGCTCACAGCCATCACTGCCTTGACCTACTGGGCTCAGGTGATCCTTCCACCTCAGCCTTCCAAGTAGCTGGAACTACAGGTGAGCGCCACCACACACCCAGCTAATTTTTTGATTTATTGTAGAGACAAGGTCTTGCCAAGTTGCTCAGCCTGGTCTCAAACCCTTGGGCTTGGCAATCCTCTTGTCTCCACCTCCCAAAGTGCTGGGATTACAGGTGTGAGCCACCACACCCAGCTGTTCCATTTCTCAAGTATGTATTCTACTTGGAACTGGTGAGGGTACTAAGAGATGGTGAGGTTAGATATGCTTTCAAGCAAGGTCGAAAAAGAGTGGTTTGGTTTTGTTTGTTTGTTTTTTTTACTCCAATCTGGGCGACAGAGTCAGATTCCAACTCAAAAAAAGTGGTTTGGTTTTTAAGCCCCACAAAAAATTGAGGACCTATAGTTTTGCCTAAGAGAACAAGAATCAAAGCAGTAAAAGTTTGGTGAAATGTGTCCTAAGAAAGTTAAAACTAGAAAGATGTTTTCAGACATATAAAGAAATGTTTTTTAATGCTGACATCTGTTCTTGATGTCAGGAGAGTATCAGACAAATGAAAATAGGTGAGATTTCATTTTCTTTCACCTGCCATAAAAGAAAGCTTAGTCAATAAAGCAGTGGCTGAGAATAGTGAAAATTAAATATAAGCAAGTATTCAGTGACATTTTCTTTTTAGACTTCCAAAAACATCTGGCCAACTATCATTATTTGAGTCTACTGTATATGGAGGAGCAGGAGCAGAATGGAAATAGAGATCTACAAGTGAACTATCTATTGGAATTTTTTTTTGAAGACTTGTTACCTTGTTTGTTTAAATATGTGCTAATAGAAAATTTGGAAAAATAAGGATAAAAAGTTCAAATGTTATCAGCATCTATTTTATTTCAGTTTTGTATGTTTTCTAAGTAAAATATTAATATAATAATATACACAATATCTTGATTTTTCACTTGTATATGACTTTGTATATGTATTTGTATTCTATATCCAAAAGAACTCAAGCAGAGACCATGAAACTAAAGTGAATCCAGAAGGAGTTGCAGGTTTTAGATGACATGGTGTCTGCTGACATTGGAATCCTCAGGAATTGGATTGATCAGGCCAGCATGGACTATTCATATGCTCAGTGAAGTGGCGAAATTGAACTCTGAACAAGGAATATGATTTAATGTATTGCTGACTGGTCTGA